GACATGTGTGTGAAATTTACGATTTGTATCTAAAATATCAGTTTGAAGTGCGCTCCGGCCGCGGGTCGCATATTTCCCCCATATTATAGAGGGCCGGAGTTCTGACGTTAATCGACGACAGACCGATATGAAAAAAGTCGATAAAACGTCAGAATAATTCGGACTAAACGCCAGTATACAATGTACTAAAATTTACAATTTTAAAATGCCGTCCAATCCCTAATTACGTAGTGACTTATCTGTCAGAAACTAAGGGTTTTATATACATTTTTACCATGAGAAAGTTTGTCAGCTTAATGGTGTTATCATAATGATATTATCATGTTGTATGGTATTTACATGATATGATATTTTTCAAACTTTTCTCTTCTGCATTACAAAACTTTTATATACACCGCCTTGGCATGTTGTTTGTGTATATTTTTTTATTAACTAGCGTAGGTACCGGCGAGATATGCTGATGGACTTAATAAAGTTATACTACACATTGTTTTTTAAATTTTACAATGTGAATACTTATAACGTAGAACAACGTTCTAACTACACGTCCGCACAGGAATTGTCAGTGTTATATATACGGCTCAAAACGTTCCCGTTTAAGTTTAATTTATTCAGCCGTAACAAGAACTTCAGTGCAAGGGTATGTAGAAGTGTTTTTGTAAGCACCTGTTGTATTTTACTGAACGAATGACCAAAACTAGTCTCTTTGATGTTGCCGTGTGTACCCATTACTCTGCGTACGTTTCCTTTTTTTTAGTTAACCAAGTCCCACACCCGATTGTAGAATGCCCATGTGGTCTGTAACTATATATGATGTAGTCTATCAGTAATCGGGAATGTCTTTCATCATCAGTGATTGGAAGTCCGCAGTATTACTGAGTCTGAATCTCAAACAAATATCGATTTAAGTTACAAACGTCATTAGCGTGATCTAAGTAGGTTCTTGTGTAAACGGAAGTTGCAACATGTGCAGCGATTAAGACGTGTAAACATCAATGACACGTGCACGACGTGCGCGTTCGTGCACGTGTGGCATTCAAAACGAAGCATACCTACTCGTTAATTGATCCAAAATGGTTTCAAGTACATCACGACTCCCCTTCCTACATTCTCTTGTTGGTGTAAACCCATTTTGTTCATATTTCTCTCAGTTGGGCACACAATGCTCTTCCCCCACCATCTAGGTGTGTATATTAATACCTCCCAGAACAGTGTTTGGAACCAACACGGCGCTATGTCATCTTGTTTTAAGACTATTCTTCGCTCACATAATCCCTTTCTTCTCAAGAATGTGTTCTGATAAAATGAATACGCTGATACAACATCGCTTTATCCTAGACAAACGGAAACGTTCAGAACTATTACATGGCAATTTGTCTAAACCTAACACTAAGTGCGTGCATCAGAACAATTTTTAACTTGGTACACATGTCTTCAGACGTCACATGTTAGGCATATTGAAATCGAATAAATATACATCGAGAATCTAACGAAATGACGACTCTCTAGATTTTCATTAGTCAGTTTAAATGAATGTCCGGATTATACAGTAGTCGGTAGTCGGTTTAGACAGGGTTGTTCACTATATGGACTAAACAGATGTTCGGATTCGACAGTATTCGGTTTAGAAACTGCCCCGATTATACAGTATTTGTTTTAAACAAGGTTAATGGGTGGTCAGGTGGTGCAATGGATAGCGCTCTTGCCTTTCACCAAGGCGGCCGGGGTTCGATTACCCGATCGAACGTGAAAAGGCATGGGGTCGCCTGCTCGACCACGTGGGTTTTCACCCGGTACTCCGGTTTCCTCCCACAGTTAGACCCTCCGCGCACTTACATCCGGGCTAGGAGTAGTAATTATTTCATAATTGTTGAAAAATAGTTAAGTTTAATAAAACCCACAACAGGTTACTATGTTTACATAGACAAGTCATTGTTCATGTTGCTAATATACTGCTTCGCGATGGTACAATTTTCTCCTCAGTGTCAATTATTATTCTTGAATAAATCTTATCGATCCATAGAAAACATACAAATCCAATGCAAACACCTCGTCTATCGTACTCCTATAGCAGACAAGTACAGCTGTCAGCAGTTCACACTACGGCTCTAAATGTTTGTTATTACTTTCCTCTGAGAGGCGTAGCTCATTGGAGCTAATGGATGTTTATTATATACACCATATAGAGACACCATATTTCACTTTCCCCTGTGTCTAACGGTCTTGCTTAAGTGGTGAAAACGGACATTTTCAATTGATTTTCATACATCGGTTACGAAAAACTAAATTTCAGTTGTTGTTTTGTTGAACGTTGAACGTAAATGATAATGAAACAAACTGGAACAGGAAAATTATGATTTTTTGCTGGCAAATTGCTAAATTAAGCTTTCTTTTTTGAATTATTCCATACAGTTGCGACAGTGATGACCAAAATTGATATCGCGTAAGCAAAACACATAGGAAAATTTAAAAACAAAGTCAAGTCATATGATATTGTTAAATGACCGTATACGTTATTTTTGACGTCACTGTGGTTTCCATGGAGATTTGTAGGAGGATAGAGAACTGGTCTCTGTTATAGAACTTATGCATTGTGTATCACGAGTGGTACAAAACGTGGGCATGATTTATTAAAGCGATGGATTGCCAATAATCGAAGGTGTGAAGTTGTAAGAGATCAATGGGCCTCATTAACAGGTACGCCATTCAAGCAAGTGCTGAGGCAGAAAAGAGCAATACCGACATTTGCATAAATTATATAGCCGCTTAAGGCTGGTGTTCTGATGGCAGTTGCTGACCCTGATAAAGTACAGCTTAGTGGTACATTAATGAAGGTGAAATTATAAACACTCATAGATATATCATAATCAAACGTATATTTTTCTGGCATAATAAGTTGGCGTCAGACACACATCTTGCTCTCGTTAATATTTGCGATGTTGGATTGAGTGAAAGATATTTTTATAATTTGACGAATCACGTGTTTAAGCTAAATATGCTTGTCGCTACTGGCCCGTGGTGGTTTTACTCGAGGGTCGTATCAAATTTGGTGTCATTTCAACAACGGATATTTGCCGAGTAAACAAGGCGGGAGGCAGCTTTTGTATCGTCGTAATTAATCGTTGTCCCCATTAGCTGGCACTTACCAAAGCAAATAAGACAGGAGTTATCAGTAACGAAAATTCAATTAGTCTATCGATCAAGTATTGGGAATAATTTGTAAAGATTTATTTGGTTAAATAACATATGAACGATATCCAATACGGTGATCTTTATAACGGTACCTCTAAGAAGAGTAGTATCATTTGTTTGTTGAATCAGACGTGTCCATTCTGGTAAATGTCGAGTTATTGATCATTTAAATGCTGTTTAAGCAGGTCCTACAAATGGAGAGAGGGGAAGGGGAGCAGCCCTGACTCCACAAGTATTGTCATGATAACATTTAATTGTCTCTTAAATGTTTAAATTATAATAAGATTTCTGCGACTGCATACGGACTGTCGTGCAATAAGTGATAAACGGAAACTCTTGACGCCTTTAAGCGCCGATATCACGTAACATCAATAGTAAAACCAACCCGTAAAACTTCGGTGATCATTTCACTGTTACTTCAATCCGCCGCTAGTGGCGCTGTCATCAGACGCGATTTACAACTTTTGCGGTTTAACTATGGTATTCCAATACTAATAAACAGTCAATAGATATGTTTATTCTCAGAAATATGCCCCTATCGACAAAATCCTTGTATAAAATCGTTAAAACTAAGAGCGGTAATGCTGTCCTTATATTTTTGACATTTTTGTGGTACTTACCGGAAGGAGTGTTTGTTAAAAGTTTACATACGAATATGATCATTTTAATTGCTATACATTATATTACAAGCGTTTATTTAATCAAGACCTTCCCCAAATACCTGTGGGGATATACTGTGGTCATATATTGATCGCGTACGTTTGACTTTTCAACACATTTTATTGACAAAGATGAAAGGTTGTGAAAGGATTGGCCAACATATATGCAAACACATGTAAAAGGGATCGGCCAACAGGCATGGCTTGTACAGGTGTCCTTAAATGTACATACAATTACACGTATACATTAAAATGATTAATTTATTAAGTAGTCGTGTATCTAAAGCTTGTTCAGGATTAATATATATGGAAATTATATTTTGCAATAAACATTTATACATACCGTCACTTTATCCAAATCGGGACACTTTTTAGATAAGTATCAATGACTTTATATCATACTATCAATTCCACCATACTATCAATTCTACAATGTACCATACTATAAATTCTACCACACTATCAATTCTACCGTACTATCAATTTTAGCATACTATCAATTCCAAAAATGTTTGAATAGATTCTATCAACTTTTTTCATTTCTACAATCTGAATAAAATCATCTGTTACATGGCTCCGCCTGAACATGTTCAGGCGTAGTACGAAGTTAACGAAGCCATGTAACAGATGATTTTAATCAGATTGTCATTTCTGTTACAAGTCTGGCGCGTGGTTCTATAAATTAACGCGAAATTTTAGAGTAAAAGGGGGTTCTGATTAAATATCTTCTCCAATATAGCACTAATTTTTATGAAATAGACTTTTGAAAATAATATCCAAATAAAGAGCGTCGCACGGCACGTAAATCACGAAAGTTTTATTTTGGTAATTATTCTTACCTTTGAATTGTCCATGTAATGATAATCTGCAGCCAATACAGCTTATTTACAGTTAAATTGTCATAAAAGTATCATCAAGTGAAAACTGCATACATAAAAGTTTGCTTGCATGACAGTTTCTTGGGCCGTTTCCACACAAGTGTCCTGTTTTGGGTACTGTCCCGAATTGGGAACAGTGATGTTAGATCATAAGCTCAAGCACATCAATATAGCAAAAGTCTATTAAAACACATTTCATTCCCGAAAAAGGTTGGAAATCTGGTGAACAGAAATCATTTAGGGAATAATAAAATAAAGCAGAATTGTGAAGAAACTTTATTTTGATTATTTTACATTGTACAGATAACATTATCAGTGCAAGTAAAGATCAGCACTCAATACATGTCTATATCAGTGGTGCACCGCCGCTCTTATACAAAAGATAAATGATATCACTCTTACTGTGCCTGAAATCAAACAGGGCTTATTTATCAATGACTGCCAAGTTGTACCCCTAGGCCTTTACGCGTGCTCTTGGCAGATTCTATCCCTCCAGAATTTGTTCTGTCTGGAAGTCCCACGTCTATAGGGGACGTTTGGTGGGATTTATGCTTGGAAGATTGATGTTGTCACGGACTGTTTCGACCCGTTCCCGTCTCCTTTTGGTAACTCCCACTTCCTGTGTATCATGGAACTGTAGCGTCCTTGTCAACTTAACTTCTCGTGTGGCTTCTTTATGAACGGAAGTACTTCTACCGGAAATAAATGCAATGGGCGGAAGTGTTCCCACTCTTGTCCCAGTTGTTATTTTATCTGATTTGCTAACATGTTGGGCAGATGGAAGAATATGAATTCCATTTCTTTCTTTTGGTTTAGCTTTGCTTGATCTTTTTGGAATTCTGAAAGATTCTTTTTCAAGAGGAGGAAGGGTACACTTTACTGAGACATTCGTATAACTAACTTGAGGACCCGAGCGATGCCCTGTTCCAGAAGACGGATTCTGCTTCCGGTTATTTGAAACCCTCTTGACCACTGGCACTTCAACTGCTGGTAACTCAATGCTTGTGATGGTATGTCCATTTCCTGATAACCTCTGTACAGAAGTTAGTGGCTTCTGGTTCCTCTTATCAGTTTTTATTTTCTTGTATGGCATTTCATTCAGTCTGTCGCCCTGCCCTCCTGACAGCCGGGAGGTAACATTGTCTCTAGCAGATGTCACAGTTTCTGCAATGGCTGATCTCTGTCCAGCAGACAACCCAGGTTTCTTGATGCGTTGCTTTGGTTTTGATTTAGTTGTAGAGTCAAACTTCGTTCGAGCGCTAGAACCTTTGTTTGTGGTCGTGTTTAAATCATTGTCTTTGTGCAGTCCAATATCAGGTTCTCGAAGACATCTAACTTTGTTTACGTTAACATCTGAAAAAGCAAAACAGTTTGTTTTACTTGCAAAAAACACACAAGTAACAAAAGACTGGCGAACTATTGGTGTTACTTCTTCGCGAATTATTTGTCTCCTACTTACGAAACCAAAGACTTACATCTGCTGTTACATGTAGTTTCTGTACATCAAATATAAGTAGCAAACTATCCGATATACGTGTGTAACAGGGAAAGAAAAATGTAACGGACGGCCGGGATACGAACCCGGGACCCTCCAAATTTAGACGGACGCTCTACCAATTGAACTACCTGGCCGCCGAAATCTTCCCAGTCCAGTTTTACTACACATATAATAATATTGTTTCATTAGTGACCAGGCTTACTTGCTTTAATGATTTAATAAACGTTACTTTATATTGTTATTCACCCGTCAATAACAATAAACCAGGGATATGCTATTACCTGTGAGGTCTCGTTCTGATAAACTATCGGGGAAGTCCTCCGGATTTGAGAGTGTCCATGAGGTCGTATTGCCGGAAAAGAGGGATTCCGGTGTTACAGATCGGCTTGACAGTCCCGGTACAGGGGTCATGACCTCTTCTATAGGGGTCAGCATCCTTATCATTGATTCATTCAATCCGAAGTATACCTGTCTCCCACCGATTGCGGAACATTTGTCTTCCAGTGATTGGCGTAGATATTTCTTAATTTTGGAGTCACCAGTAAAAATTGACTGATCTGAATCCTTGAGTGACATGATGAAGAAAATACTAAATATACGAACTATATAAATGAGTAAACTAGGAATCGTGGTCGTTTGTTGATAAGACGAAAATTTAGAACTCGCGTTCAAGAAGCAGCTTTAGCCGAGAGTCTGGCGTAGCTATGAGAGGTTTTGATGACGCAATGGACAATTAAGTCATATGACGTCAGGCTGATTGTGACGTCACTATTCTATTGTTCCTGTACTGCTAAAGGAATCGGAGTGAATTTTACTGCAATTTTTTCTAATTCATTCGGGGTTTGGTTTTGCAAATTTGCAATGCATCACATTAAAAAAATAATTCAGCTTTCTCGGGTATAAAATTTATCGAGTAAGCTCCCAATCAATGCGATATTCGCGAGTTTTTAAATTCGAGATATGAACACACTTAGGTGTTCACCTGTTTATTGGCTAGAATACAAAGTCCCAGATAGTTTTATTTGCATGTTTCGCAAAATACTTTTGTCGTGAAAGTGAAGTAAAGTATTCGTCATTCGTCCGCACGGAAGGGTCACACAGCAGTATCTTGTATAACTTTGGTCATTGTAGGCGTGAGTCCATCATTCCATTTTGTACCGGCGGTCCGTATGTCCCGACGTTCACATAGAGTCTTGACTTTCAATTCAGTTCTCTGTAAATCAATTAGGCCCACCAGCCGCGGTCAATACTGGGTGCGTTTAGAAAGAAGGAATTGCTTATAAACGAGTTCATTAATTGAAGTACACGTTTCCTGTATTACAGGCGGTGGTATGTACTCCAACTTGTCTTACAGATTCATGTAAACCACACGGTCAGCTACATATATAGCTCTCAAACTAATCAGTTTTATAATGCACCAGACTTTCTGTTATATAAAAACAAACATAAAAACCCGAATTAGTTTAAATAAGACATTCAGTATAAAAAGCCACGCACAGACTTACCAACGTTTTATCATGAGAGTGGGAAAAACGGATGTTTAAACCCTAAGATATGTCAAACTAAACAACTTGTACAAAATGAACGTAAACACATCCAGGAACATATATATTTAATGATCGGCAGTTTTGTGAGGAATAGTGGCCAATGTGTACAAACTGAACGTAAAACACCTAGCAACATACATTGTACATATATAATGATCGACAGGTTTGTGAGGAAAAGTGACCATTATGTACAAAAACCTATATAATGATCGACAGTTTTTCGAGGAATAGTGGCCAATGTGTACAAACTGAACGTAAAACATCCAGGAACATATATATAATGATCGACAGTTACGTGAGGAATAGTGGCCAATTTAAGGGACTATCTCGCCTACCAAACATATACATTACATTGTTATTGAATTTAACATCTTCGCATTAAAAAAATACAATTGAGATTCAACAATAACGTTGTACCCGAGCCTATTATCCTTTAGAGGTCCAAACTCACTGTAGGATCCCTGTTCCACAGCATGAAAAACATGAGAGAATTCCATTGTTGTTTTGTCGAATGTACGTTGTACACTTACCATCCCCTAATTTTGTTTTGAGTAAAACTCCGTTAAGCAGGTACACAGTGCTCAATCGGTTAGAGCGAGAGTATAACCATTTAAAATCCAGGGTTTCAACCCTGGGCTCACCCTGCTGGATTTTTACAATTAGTACGCTTTTTTTTAAAATTATGTTTTATTTATGTATTTGCACTTTTTTCGTCTTTATGTTGTTTATATAAATCCTTCAAGATATTGTTTTCTTTTTAGAAATGATTTATCAAGCCATAGCCGTGCCAAAAATAAAATCAGTAGCTTACGCGTTTTTACATGTTTTGGTTGTGATACAGGGATCCTTAAACACACCAAATCTCAAGCCAGAACGAGGTTGATGCAGACGCGCAAAACTTAGCTTGTGTGAAACATGTATGAGGTACACGTGGGGTGACATGGTCAGACCTGACAGGTTTATAGGTTTATTTATGTATATTTCCTTGTAATAAATATTTTACAACACTATCAAAATAACATAATGTGATAAGGATTTTGTTCTAGAAGCAATGGAACTGGCATTTGGTGTGCTTTAAGGAAAAGTAAAACATTAATTTAATAACTAAATATTTATGCTTTTTTGGCAAAAACAAAACTTTCAAACGGAAACCTGTCTTAAAAAAAACCCGTCCAACAAAATTATGTTCAACATAGACCTGTCTTATATAAAATAAAAACCTGTCCAAATTGAACATAAATCTGTATAGATAGGCTTTTGGATAACACAAGTTCAATTTACACAAATATTTACTACTTTGTGATATGTCAGGTTTATAGAGGATCCGGATTTGACAGACGTCGATTTGGACAAGTTACACGTACACAACTTTCGGTAAGGAAATGACTTAGGGTAATATGCACGTACATTATTCCAAAATTTCGTTGTCAATGCAAATTATTCATAAAATATAATTGCATGGCTGTGGGATGCTCTGACGTCCTGAGTGGTCACCGCATATATTCTAACGATTCACCGGAGCGCAATTTTGTAAATATTTCGACAAGGAATGCCTACCTCTCAAATATCCCCTCCAGCACTGACTGAACACGAAACTAACAGGATTGACTGACATTTAGAATTTTATTAGTGTACTCAAAGATTAAATAGGCTGCTCGTATAGCGTTGGAATCCATATATAATGATTAGTGACATACTCTGGCCTTTTATAACGAGCCAAATGCATATAAAATGTTCTAAACTAGCAACAAGCTGCAGGTACAATCGATTTCAGAGAGACTAAATATTGCTTCCTGCAAAGATTGTACTTTTGATTTTGATAATAAAATGTATGTTCCCCAGAATTGACAATTCCAGTATGCATGTCTCTTTTTCACAATTAAACACAAAAATTGTGGGAAATAATTAACCGAACACTGTAGTTACTTTTGTTTTCATTCTGACTATGTAAGATTTCGGATTATTTGGGCCAAGGCTGCGTGGGCTGGGACTGAATGTGTTCCATATAGCTTAAGTAAAACAAACGAAACACGTTCCATTCCCAAATAGTCACATCACACTTTATCTTTCAGCATATTTACACGAGAAAGGCAGACAATGTTGCTATTATATGACATATGTATGTATTTGCTTAAAATGATGGGGCTATGCCCCTCGATCTAACCTTCCCCACTCCCCAACCCGGCGCTTCGCCCCAGCACCCTGTCCCTCCAATCAGTTGGTCCGGGCAAGAGCTACAGCCTTACGTCATCAGTCACGGTAGCGTCTTTACAGGGTCTACTTCAGGGCTCACGAGGGGTCCAAATGAGGGCGGCCCGTTTTGTAACGGACAACTACAGGGACCGCACCCAAGGGTGCTTGGCAGCTATGGTGCAGGAACTTCAATGGGACGATCTAGAAAACCGCCGTAAAACATCGAGGCTGGTCATGATGTTTAAGATCTCACATGACTTAGTGGACATTGAAGGGGCAAGGTACTTAACACCAGGTGACAGCAGGACAAGAGGTGCACCTAAATTCCAAGAGCCAACAACCGCAAGGCAAGTATACGACAGTTCGTTCTTCTACCGTACCATCAGAGAATGGAACGGAATATCATCATCTGTGAGGACAGCCAAATCCATCGAGGTGTTCCGCATGCTGCTTATTCCGTCTTTGCGTATTACAGAGTTATCTTCTCTTTTGAGCAGGTATTGGTTGTTACGTCATTGGTTTATGTGAGAAAATTACGTCGTTTTCTCAAAAAATGATGACGTTACTCTCACAAACAAATGACGTAACAATCAATACCTGCTCACAAGAGAAGATAACTTTGCAATACGCAAAGACGGAATTACCACCACAGCAGCAAGCTCCAGTCAGCTGCATATTTTTATCCACTTTTAATTATAAATACTGCCAGAAGGTTTCTAGCTGTACTTGTCATGCGCCAGTGCATATTCTTATACAGGAAGAAGAAGAAGTAGTTTACAACCACTATTTAATTTAAACGATACATTCAATTAAACACAGCAATAATTTACCGTGTGGAGTTTTGGTACATGTAGTTTATGTAGAGAACATACGATTAAGTCACACGATGTTGTAATACATTATAACGTGGGGTGTCATAATGGAATTCAGACATGTGATTAGATTTCTGCGTATAACGATATGAAGACACCAGAGGCAATAATTGGTACGCGACATACACTATTAGTATACTGTTCATTGACCGCTAATTCACACATTCCTTTATTAAGTAAGTGATGAACTTTGGGTCGTTCATATATGTGATACTAATAACATCTGAAACCACACCCTCGGTATAAAAGGATGACCGTGGGTAACAAATTAGCGACCTAACGTCGTCAATAACTACCGCATTTTCACCAATAAGCAATTAGGTATTGACACACGTATATAAATATATATAGACGCAATAAAACACATTGCGTCGGTCAAATCATTTATATAATGATAGTACATGTAATATCCCACAACGGGGGATGTGCTAGTGCATATCTAATATGGGGTTCCATATATATTTATATTTCCGTTGAATAGCCCTTAGATAAATCTACCAACCAAATATATTGTCATAAACCAATTATGGCAAGATTGTTACTGTACTTGAATATTTTCTATTCGGAAGATGTTCAGGGCCCGTATTCATGAAACCATTCTCATGCTCAAACGTGGATTTTGTGCTCAAAACAACTTTCTTGTAACTCACTTAAATCATGTCAAAACGATCAAAACATCAAACATTAAAAACAGTATTTGGCTTTGCGTCTTTTTATTTTTTTTCCAAATCATCGACAAAATAATATGTTATTGATAATTTATAAACAAAACAAAAAAAGTAGGCTTAAGCACAAAAAAACATGCTTGAGTATGAGAACGGTTTCATGAATATGTGACGTCAGATTCAAATTATGACGGAAATTCCCGAACAATATAACTGGAAATATATATACCCATGAGGTCCGGGTTGACTAAAACACAGAACGGAATATGACCCTAAACATGAGGTACGGGTTGACTTAAACACAGCACGGAATATGACCCTAAACACGAGGTACGGGATGACTTAAACACAGAACGGAATATGACCCTAAACATGAGGTACGGGTTGACTTAAACACAGAACGGAATA